AAATGGTGAGGCAAAGCAATAAATAATTAAAGTCTAATTGTTTGTAATTCTCTTTACAAGCTGCTAATGACATAAAAGTAAAACATATCAGTCAATCAGAAGACCGGAAACACAAACCTGTATGTTTGGGGAAAATCCGCTGCCCGGCCGCCGAGCAGGCTACTTCTCGGGTTGGGACCATGGCTTAAAGGGAGTGTGTCATGATGAGACTGTGTGTCTTTCCCATGGCCCTACTCCTGGCCAATCGGGTATAATACGACTACGGACGACGCGACCGCAGCATTCACGTGCGTGCAACGTACGCGAAACCGAAGCGTAAGAAGAACTTCTGTCTGTTTCGCGAACGCTAGCGTGCGCTGACCCAGTTAATCAAGTCCATTCGTTTACGTGCAGTTGTCCAAAAGAAGACGTAGATGGCATTAACCAGTATATCCCATGATACACTCCCTTTAACTTGGTATCATGATTTTTTTTTTGTCTACTTATGAAATGTGATTTATTGCATACATACTCTCATTGTGGTTTTTTCATTGTATTTCAATCAGGACCGTGATAAAAACAGCTTTACTGATCAAATTTATCCTGCATAAAGTTGTTCATTCAAATAAATATCCTGCAAAGTAATTTCATGCATTGGTCCGCCTAACGTGTTAATGAAAGCCACAGTGTACTACAGGCGCGGATCCAGGGGGGCCGAGCGTGCCTTGGCCCCCCCCCCCCCGCCAAAAAAAAAAAAAAAAAAAAGGAGAGAGAGAGAAGGAAAAAAAGGGAAAGAGGAGAGAAAGGGAAAAAAGAAGAGGAAGAAGAAAAGAAAAGAGGGAAGAAGGAGATCGGGGGGAAAGACTTGCCTCCCCCCTCCCCCCCCCCAATAAAAAAATTAAAGAGAAGGAAGGAAAGGGAAAGAAAAAAAATAAAGAGGAGATAAAGGTGCAGTTGCAATTTTTCCCGCCAACAAGGTGTAGATCGGAGGGGGAGGGGGGGGGGCACTGGCATTCTGATAGGGGATGGGGGGGGGGGGTTGGAGAAATAGAATTTAAACGTGGTTTATTTATAATTCCATAACGGTGGTTAACAAATAATGCTGAAATGAGATAATTTTCCTCACTACATGCGTTTGTTGGAAAATGACAAATTCCTAAATTTACAGCCAGGCAAGAAAATGCTTCTTGAGATGCCTACATATCAGGGCCCGCGGAACGGCGGGTATCGGGATCCTCGAGCCCCTCCCCCCACACTTTCTTTGAAAAAGTATATTAAATAGAAATAGAAAGAAAGAGAGCGAGAAAGAAAAAATAGTTAACTGCCAGTGTCACATTATAATGGGGTATCAAAATATGCTCATCTGACCATGATTAAAATTAATGCCTAAAATCCTAAGGGCTCTGCCCCCTGGATTCCAGCTAGGGCCCTAAGGCGGGCCCTTAAATGCTCATATGACGGTCATTTAATGCCTAAAACTCCTGATTTCTGGGGGCTCTGCCCCCTGGACCCCACGCCAAATAGTGTCCTGCTAGTGTCACAAATAATAAGGTATCAAAAATGCTCATCTGACCGTAATTAAACGCCTAAAACCCCTGAGCTTCTGGGGGATCTGCCCCCTGGACCCAACTAAGAGCCCTTAGGCGGACCCCTCGATACTCATCTGACCGTAATTGAGTGCCTAAAACCCTTGAGATTCCGGAGCTCCGCCCCCTGAACCCCAAGCCAATTAGTGACCTGCCATTGTAACAATTAGATATCAAAATAATGCTCATCTGACCGTAATTAAATGCCTAAACTCCTGAACTTCCGGGGCTCTGCCCCCTGGACCCCGTCTAGGGCGCTAAGGCGGACCCCTGAATGCTAATCTGACCGTAAATTAAAACCTTAAACCCCTGAGCTTCTGGGGCGGACAAGGTATCAACATATGTTCATCTGACAGCAGGCGCGTAGCCAGGGGGGCGGTGGGGTGGTCCCCCAATAAACGCCGGCCAAAAATGAGAGGAGTGTAAAGGAAGAGGACGTAGGAAGAAAAGGGAATAGACAAAGAACATATTTGAAATTCAGACAAGGATTTAGAGTCGAGAACGGTACAACGAATCGTCTTTTTTCTCTAATGAATTAATGAAACGTCAAAGCTTCCGCGCTACGCGCGGGGGAGGGCAGGGGGAACTTAATCCAGACGAGGATAGTTTTCGGGAACAATACAACGAATCGTCTTCTTTCTATAATAATTTAATGAAACGTCGAAGATTCCGCGCTTTGCGCGGAAGGGGGGGGGGGGGAATTGATATAGTCAAGGATTAAGAGTCGAGAACGGTACGTCTAATCTTCCTCTTTCTCTAATGATTTAATGAAAAGTAAAAGCTTCCGCGCTTTGCGCGGGTGGGGGAAACAAAATTATTTTCGACAGCGGAACAACGAATCGTCTTCATTCTCTAAAAATTTAATGAAATGTCGAAGCGGGGGGAAAACTGAATTTAGACAAAGATTAAGAGTCGAGAACGGTACAACGAATCGTCTTCTTTCTTTAATGATTTAATGAAACGTAAAAGCTTCCGCGCTTCGCGTGGGAGGGAGGAAACTGAATTTAGACAAGGATTAAAAGTCATAACGGTACAACGTATCGTCTTATTTCGCTAATGATTTAATGAAACGTAAAAGCTGTATTCAGACGAGGATTATTTTCGAGAACGGTACAACGAATCGTCTTCTTTCTCTAATGATTTAATGAAACGTACAAGCTTCCGCGCTTCGCGCGGGATGGAGGAGGGGAAAACTGAATTCAGATGAGGATTAAGAGTCGAGAACGGTACAACGAATCGTCTTCTTTCTCTAATGATTTAATGAAACGTAAAAACTATTTTCAGACGAGTAGGCACGTACGGAAAGAGGGAGGGGGTTAGGAGGTTGACCCTCCCCCCTTCAGTTTTTATGTGTGTATTTTGGAGCAACCCCCCCCCCCTTTTCTGTGATTTTTTTATTTTTTTATTATTAATTTTAAAAAAAAATTAAAAAAAATATGCCAATGGCTGACCTAAAAAAGGGTGACCCCCCCCCCCCACGGTACAAAATGTCAAATTTTCAAATTTCGAGACCCCCCCCCCCCAAAAAAAAGGTGTCCTCTTCCCACCCCCCCCCCCCCCCTCTTATTTAGCGGCTGGCTGAGTCGTTACGATTTTTTTTTCGGACCAAAAAAAAAAAGTGGGCCCCCCCCCTAAGAAATACTGGATTTGCGCCTGGTGTACTAAAAGCGTTACCACAAAATCCCATCTAGCGCTATCTGGGGTCAGCTGTAGCAGTATGGTCTTGTAACCAAAAAACTGTGAAATACGTATTTTACAGTTCGGTGCCCGTAACTCGCTGAAATGATAAGTATCGCTTCCAGCCCTCTGTCTGCGAAGCGGAAACAAAGTATTGGATTACACAATGTTGGCAAATTGACCATGAGATGGCGCTGTACAATGAACAGTACGCTATGGCAGAAAGTACATCAAGTCAGTGTCGCTTAAAGAAAGCTCTAGCCCGCGTCTTTGGTAATGTAACAACATATATACATTAGGCCCTGTCGAATAAGAAACGGACGATTTGTTTTTCAGGATAATTTACTTCGGGAGAAACAACAGTAACAATTATATTGCGATTCTTACCTGTGTTGACACTTCGTCTTCGTTTTCCAGATGTCTGACAAGTAGGGGTCCTTGTCTCCAATATACACAGTACTGCTCACCAGGATAGGCTACCTTGTACTCTTGTATGGTATCCTGCAAACGATTGAACATATGAATCAATATTGAACAAAATAATAGTGATAAAATAATAATAGTGATACTAATTGGGGGGGGGGGGGGGGACTAAAAAGAGATTATGATAAGAAAACTTTGAGATAATGCTGTTCTTCCAGAGGGCACTGCAAGAACCTCCAGCAATTGCCAGAAGTTATGGGACACCTACCCCCTGGGACAACTACCCCTAGGACAACTACCCCCTAGGGCAACCACCCTCTAAGACGACTACCCCCGGACAACTACCCCGTAGGGCAACTACCCCCTTGGTCAACTACCCCCCGACAACTACCCGCATGACAACTACCCCCTAGGAAAACTACCCTCGGACAACTACTCCCCGGGCAACTACCCCCAGAGAACTAACCCCTACGACAACAACCTCTAGGACAACTACCTCCCGGACAACTATCCTATGGGGTAATTGCCCTGGGGTAGGATAAGGTATTTGAATGATGCTCTAACGAAATTGGTTGCAAACTGACAAAATTGTTTCATGCATTGTACGTTAGCAGCCAAGGATGATGAACTTGATTTGACTTTGACGAAGTTAGATGCAAAATGATGAAATCGATTGGACAAAGTCTGAAAATGAATGACCAAATACGAAATTGACTATGAGATGTGCAGGATTAGAAATTTTCGTGACGAAATGAGAAGGAAAAAAAGATCATTACACATAACATGAACCAGAAATATACCGGATTGTTAATTCGTTACAAAATTACCTCTTTCATGCCGTCGAAGTCGTCTTTAATGACGAGCAAGATGGGGTTCATGCCGTCTCTAGATGTTGACAGGGGAACGTATGGCGTACAGATGAGCCGTTTACCGATGAAGTATCTCTTGATTAAGGAGATAATCCACCATTCCGAGAAATGGTCTAAGTACAGAGTAAGGTGATTCTTTGTGACTACACACCGGGCAGCTTTGTCAGAAGCAGGAACTATCCTCGAAAATTCATCAGACACTATCAAAAAGACATACACAAAAAGAGGGGACCGTGTTAATTTTGTTAAGCAGTGAACTGTCAATGATCAGGGATTTACTTTCATATGATAAAGAAAAAAATATTTTTTGTAAGGTTTGCGGATCAACAGTACACCTTAAATTAAATATAAATCCAAGAGCGAATTAAAAATGATTAGACGAAGTGCGGGAAATAAAAGGAAACACAGCGGAAGGGAAAGGAATTTATATGGAAATATGGGATCTATGGTAATAGGAAGATCTTACCAGTCCTTCGGGTGTATAGCACAATTTCTGCCTTGTCTGGGTTGGTGAAAATAGCGCTATGCGAGACCGTGACTTCCACCGGAGTTTTAAACTGAAGACCAGGAGGGGATAGCTTAAGCCCAACTGAGATGATAACTTCGTCTTTGTCCAGATTTAAGTCAGGTGGAATGGTTGTCAATGCTTCTGCTGTGATATATTTGGCTCTGTCCACATCGTCTGGTGAAATTGGAACCTTGATGCTGTACTCGTCAAGACTAATAATCATTGTCTCTTCTGTGCTGCTCTTCCTCGAGGAGCGAGATCTGTCTTGTGGACTGGTAAGATATGGATCGTATGTTCGGGAGTATTGGGGCATTAAGCCAGGGAAAGCCTCACTACCAAACGTACTGCGAAGGTAGTCATAGTGGTCCTCTTCAAACCCAATGAATGGCTTAACGATCTTTGTTGCTTCTCTATTTAAAAGAAAGTCATGTATACCCAGATGGCCGCCATTAAGAGCAAGGCGTGAAGGTGTCCAGTAATCATCAGTAAGTTTCCCCGGGTCTGCACCCTTACTAACGAGGTATTTGACAATATCAAGATGACCATTGAGTGATGCTATGTGAAGAACTGTAAACCCATCTTTATCACCGATTCCAATGCTTGCTCCTTTGTTCACGATATACACGACGACTTCAAGATGGCCTTCTTGAGAAGCACAAGCCAAGGGTGTTCTGTAGTTTTTGTCACATATGTCAAGCCGGGCCCCTTTCTTAACAAGGTATTTGACAATATCAAGATGACCCTTGAATGATGCTATGTGAAGAGCAGTTAACCCATTTTGATCAACGATATCAATGCCTGCTCCTTTGTTCACGATATACTCGACGACTTCAAGATGGCCTTCTTGAGAAGCACAAGACAAGGGTGTCCTGCCGGTTTTGTCACATTTGTCAAGCTGTGCCCCTTTCCCAACAAGGTATTTGACAATATCAAGATGACCCTTGAATGATGCAATGTGAAGAGCAGTAAACCCATACTTATCACCAATTTCAATGCCTGCTCCTTTGTCCACGATATACTCCACGACTTCAAGATAGCCTTCCTGAGAAGCACAAAACAAGGGTGACCTGTCGTTTTTGTCACATTTGTCAAGCTGTGCCCCTTTCCTAACAAGGTATTTGACAATGTCAAGATGACCCTCCAATGATGCTCTGTGAAGAGCCGTAAACCCATCTTTGTCGCCAATTTCAATGCCGGCGTCTTTGTTCACGATATACTCGACGACTTCAAGATGGCCTTCTCGAGAAGCACAATACAAGGGCGTCTTGTCAGTTTTGTCACATTTGTCAAGCTGTGCCCCTTTGCTAACAAGATGATGAACTATTTCAACGTGTCCATTGGACGATGCAATGTGGAGTGCTGTTAACCCGTCTCGATTACAGTTATCAATATTTGCTCCTACGTTCAGTAAGACCTCGACAATACCCAAATGGCCTCTTTCTGCTGCGAGAAACAAGGGTGTCATCCCGTTCCTGGGTTCATTGTCAATCTCTACCCCTCCGTTAACAAGAACTTTGACAATATCAAGGTGTCCCCAAAATGAAGCCAAACTAAGTGCGGTCCATCCATCGTCAGTGCTTTTATCCAGCTCTGCTCTTTGACTGGTTAGATATTTTACTCTATCAATATTACCAGCTTTTGATGCAGAATGAAGAGCTGTATATCCACCTTTACCACACGTGTTAATGTTGGCTCCTTCTGTCAAAAGGTACTCTGCAATGTCAAGATGGCCACCGTCTAAAGCAAGGTGTAAAGGTGTCCAGTAATCATTATCAAGTCTCTCCAGCTCTGCCCCTTTACTAACAAGGTATTTGACAATATCAAGATGACCCTCGAGTGATGCTATGTGAAGAGCTTTATCACCAATGCCAATGCCTGCTCCTTTGTACAAGATATACTCGACGACTTCAAGATGGCCTTTTTGAGAAGCACAAGACAAGGGTGTCCTGCTGTTTTTGTCACATTTGTCAAGCTGTGCCCCTTTCCTAACAAGGTATTTGACAATATCAAGATGACCCTTGAATGATGCTATGTGCAGAGCTGTAACCCCATCTTGATCACCAATTTCAACGCCTGCTCCTTTGTCCACGATATACTCGACGACTTCAAGATGGCCTTCTTGAGAAGCACAAGACAAGGGTGTCCTGCTGTTTTTGTCACATTTGTCAAGCTGTGCCCCTTTCCTAACAAGGTATTTTACAATATCAAGATGACCCTTGAATGATGCTATGTGAAGAGCAGTTAATCCATTTTTATCAACGATATCAATGCCTGCTCCTTTGTTAACGATACACTCGACGACTTCAAGATGGCCTTTTGAGAAGCACAAGACAAGGGTGTCATGTTGGTGTTGTTACATTTTTCAGGCTGTGCCCCTTTGCTAACAAGATGATGAACTATTTCAACGTGTCCATTGGACGATGCGATGTGGAGTGCTGTTTGCCCGTTTCGATTACAGTTATCAATATTTGCTCCTACGTTCAGTAAGACTTCGACAATACCCAAATGGCCTTTTTTTGTTGCCAGAAACAAGGGTGTCATCCCGTTCCTGAGTGCTTTGTCAACCTCTACCCCTTCGTTAACGAGAACTTTGACAATGTCAAGGTGTCCCCTAAATGAAGCCAGACTCAGCGCGGTCCAACCATCCTCAGTGATCTTATTTTGCTCTGCTCCTTGACTAGTTAGATATTTCACTCCATCAATATTACCAGTTTGTGATGCAGCATGTAGAGCTGTACATCCACCTTTACCACACGTGTTAATGTTGGCTCCTTCTGTCAAAAGGTACTCTGCAATGTCAAGATGGCCACCGTTTAATGCAAGGTGTAGAGGTGTCCAATAATCATTAGCAAGTCTCTCCAGCTCTGCCCCTTTACTAACAAGGTATTTGACAATGTCAACATGACCCTCGAATGATGCTATGTGAAGAGCTGTAAACCCATCTTTGTCGCCAATTTTAATATCTGCTCCTTCGTTCACTAACAGCTCTACCACATGAAGATGGCCTTTCTTTGAACATAAGTGAACCGATGTCTGTAGGTTAGCATCGATTACATTCACCTTTGCTCCATGATTGGTTAGGCATTTAACCGTTTGCAAATGTCCGTTTGCCGAAGCAATGTGAAGGGGTGTCTTGCCAGATGCATCCGAGCAGTTTACATCAACTCCTCTCGAATCCTCGGACTTGTCTTCTGAGTCGATTAATGATTGTATCTTCTGGACGTCTCCTTTTGCCGCTGCAGAAAACAGCGCCATGTTAAACGTAATTCACACCCACTACGTTTTGCACATCATGATATTACCGTGCTCTTCAAACATCAAGTTACGTATTGTCATGTGACATTGAAATACTGTGTAAATTGGCCCGTACCCTTTAGTAGCGTTTTCTATTCTGTAGGAGCAATCAAGCGTGATTATATGAAAACATTTCATAAATTGGACTTTGCACTCATATCCCTATTGGCTTCAGAAGTCTGACTACATTACTGTACAGTGTATTACAACAAAACAGACCAATTGCCAAAATATACTTGGTTTCCGATTTGCGGAAAAAAGAAAAAGAGAGAAAGACGAAAGGGAGAAAGAAAGAGAAAAAATACGGTCTCTATCATCGCTTTTCTTGAACACTCTATAGTTTGTGAAATGCTGTAACCTGTTGATGTAGAGTACTCGCTTCATTTCTCTAGAATTGGCAGGATATAAACCAAATTTGTCAGTATATTTTCATCAATTAGGCATTATAAACTGCTAACAAGGTGCTTACTATTCGTCTCTCTTCATGTAAATATGCACTTCATACCCGAGCCCTTCGCTCAAAATTCATGCATTTGCAATATTCTCATATTTAATACATTCTCAGAACTTTGTTAGTGAAGAAGATAAACTAACATCCTCTTTTTTGAAAATGAGTTCTTAAAATGAAATAGAGAAATTTAAATTCACGGATTGTTCAACTAACAGAAGATGCCAGACCGACAACCGGACACATTATTACATTGCCCCGAATCGCTGAGAAACGGTCGATTTGAAGTCGGTTTTCGAGGTATGATTAATACCCCAGTCACACTGGCAAACCGACTTTGCACCGACTCCAAAGAGTCCAAACTGACTTATTGTTGGCCTCTTTGGATAATGTAATCGATTGTCTGGTCTGGTCTGGGTGTGGATGTCTTTGTATTTGATTTGTCGTAGTACGTATTACTAGATAAGGTTCACTTTTATTTTTCTTCGAGGATCTTTTTCGGTGGACTACAACTACTTAAATATCACCTTTATTTTGTATTCTATAAATAAGACAATGTAATGATTTGTTATTGTTGTGTCACTGTCCTCCAAAGTGTTCAGAATATCTTATTATATTGTTGTTATAGTGATTGATTTTAACAATTTATCCTTTCTTGTACTTTTCTTTTCTTAAATGAAAGAGGAATCAGGGAAAAGAACAAAAGATCTCAGATATTTTCTGAGAGCAAGAATAAATATGCAGATATTATGTTGCAAGAAATATATGGAGTTTCAATGTGGGATTGGAGTTGGTATTTAAGTCATGGCACTTTACACAGTATAGGTGTTCTTGTGTTGATTAATTCACATTTAGGTTTAAAGGTCCTTTCTTTAATTTCAGACCAATTTGGGAGATACATTCCAATGAAAGGTATTCAACAGGATTTAGAAATTATCATACATACAAATGTATATCTACAAGTACGAGGAAAGGTGTTACAAAGGCTAGAGTTTTTGTCTGAATTTGAAGAGAGATTTGGATGATACCTGTAGGGGAGGATATTGTATTATGATGAGTAGTCTGATATCGGTTTAATTTATATTGTTGAGATATAAGTTGAGAAAGGATTGGTCACACATAAACATCAACAATTACATTGGTCTGTGTAGAATAATTTGTAGACCAGTTCGTAAATAGCACATGGTTCAAATCACCTCAAACATCCTCAGATATCTGACTTCTGTACAAAGTAATCTAAGTCTGCCCATATCAAATTGTATACAAACTGGAGTACTGGATCCGAGAAAGTCGTTGCTGAAGGTTCATTTGTCGGTTGAAATACCCTTACTATACCTTTAATTCAGTATTCCGAAAATCAGAAGTTTTCAGAATATCACCCCAACATGTATTGCTTTATGGTATGAAATATATATTGCCCCTAAAATGCTCAAAACCCTTATTGCGCTGAATTTTTAAAATCATTGCCAAGAATCGGGTAATTCTCTAAAACAACCAGCAGCTACCTACATGCAATTTAATTCTAAGAGCGTATACTGATTAGCGTTCACTTTGTTGCCAAATACACACACGCATGATACAGGTAATAATCTCAGCAATTTATAAATATAATTTATTATTATTATTATAATTAATTTATTCTCCTTCTGCCAAAATTAGTTGTGTGTGAAACCCTTGACTGATGAAGCATTGAGAGCTCTACTGTCTCTACAGAGTGAGTCAGAACAAATTTCAACCTTTTTAAAAGTTTTATTGTTTGAGGTATGAATATTTAATCATGGATTTCAAGATATGTCTTGATAGAGTTATCCTCCAAGTACATGTAGGTACCATTCTCATTTGAATCTCTGCATGCATGACTGAACATGAGACATTCTTTACAAGACTGCCAGATCTCACTCGCGCCAAGTAGCTAGGTGAGGAATAAAAAGTGTTTTGAACACATACTGCCAGACAGGCAAGGCCCAGCCAAACTGTTACTTTTTGTCGGGAATTCTTCTTCTCGTACGAAAAGTTGAGTGGCCGCTGTCCTCTTGGTGCGTATTGGCGGATGTTGTGCTTCATGATGATGATGATGATGATGAAGATTAAGATGATGACAATGATGATGACATGACGGTGGTAGTGAATTTGTACTAAAGGGAAATATTGTCAGGGCTATGCCACTTCAGCGATCTTGATACAAATCATTGCTTAATCAGAAAAGGGGAAATTATGAAACAATTGTCACGGTGTGTGCTGTGTGTTCGTGTTTTCGTGCGTGTGCATGCATGTGTGTGTGCGTGTGCGTGTGTGTCTGTGTCTGTCTGACTGTCTTTGTTCAATGCACTGTTTTATTCCTCACCCAGTAACTTGGCGCAAGTGAGGTCTGGCAATCTTGTAAAGATTGTCTGATGTTCAGTCATGCATGCATTGATTCAAATGAAAATGGTACCTAAATGTACTACGAGGATAACTCTATCAAGACATATCATGAAACCCATGATTAAATATTCATACTTCAAACAGTACAACTTTTAAAAAGTGGGACATTTTTTCTGACCCACTCTGTATAGGACCGCGTTCGAGTCAATGCTCTTTTTGAATGACTGGTATTCTAACGTCATTGGGTGTGCAAAATCTGTAATTTCTTTTCAAATTGAGATTCTCACAATATATTCAATTGAATTCGATTCAATTTATTTCAAACACAAATAATAACACATATCATATAAAATATATAATATAATATGCTATCCATATTACATTGTATAGGAGTGCCCTAAGGAAGAAGGCACTAAGGAGAAAAACAGAAAATACTGATATTTTTGTACACAACAAACGAAAGAATTGTCCACGAATACATCACAATCCATTAACACGAATGCCAATTTGAGATTCGCATATAGATTGAGAGATATCATTTTTCAAACATTCATAACTGCTTTATTATTTGACCTATTTATTCAAACTTTTGCAATAATGAGATCTTATTTTTCTGCTTTCACACAAAATTAATAAACTTATAACAAAGGAGCGCCTATCATACCTATCTATAACGAATATAATCATGATATACATAAAAGTTCAATTAATCCAATGCAATTAAAAATATATATGTACATAAAGTACACATAAACAATTTGATAAGTATGAAGAAGAATAAACGTCGAATAAAGGTAACATAAAAGACGAACCCCTTTGTAATAAACATTTGAATGAGAAGGATCTCGGTACGAAAAACGTAATAATGTTCAGTTTTTTATGAGGGATCCCCTTCAATTTGGCAGATTTCTTCCTTCTTTAGTTGTCTTTTTTATAAAGATTTTGTCTCTCTCATATATATATTTTGTTTTTTAATGACATTAAAAAAAGGTACTCCATATGAAAGGCAATAAAATCGCTGGTCTTGCCTTGCTCCTGGCCACAGGAGCTCTTTGTTTTCATTATCTTAAACAAAATATTTAATTTAACACCTGGGGTTCCTTCTAGATACTTTCAAATGTTGAATTCATTTAATTTGATGTGTTTCGAGGTGATGTTAATTCACTTCCATATACATGTACATCTTTTTTCTGGTTACAATCCTGCCAATGTTTATTATTTTTATTAGATGTTCGTATTTGATTGATTTATTTACGAACAGCAAATAAGTACCATTTATTTCATACAACGATATTTATATGTACAAGAAGAGAAAATATTGCTTGGTTAAATGGGCGGATAATAGCATAATTATGTGCTTGTCGACCCTAACGCCTTACAGCTAAACAATGTATTTTGTACAAGTAACCTTCAAAAAACAAAATAAAAACAAAGAAATTAATTTACCATTGCAATCAATACTATAAAAACAGATAACTTTAACAATGTCTTACAAGATACAAACTGATAATGCGAAATATAATTTTTATACATATACAACAATTTTGCATGGATTTTCGATTCATGATTTGTTCAATTAATGTGTTGTAACATAATCTGACATTATAGGTGATTAAGTAACTAACCACAAGGTACAATGGAAATCGACCATGTGTCGTTCTAAATTTTGGCAGACGTAATTGTTCACCTTCTGTTTGCCTTGTGGAGTAGCTATACTCTAGAATATCACAGTAATCTATCAACATATCAGGCAAACTTGTATTAAACAGATCAAACATGAGAGTAGTTGAGCTGTATGAGTTCTTCTCTCTCTAAATGCAAAAAAAACACGAACTGCCATTTTCTGTGAATAAAACATGCTTCTTAATAGGCTAACCTTATATTGCTTCCCCACACCTGTGTGGTTTTATCCACGTTTTATATGATAATGGATACTGTCAAAGTACGCCTAGGAACAAAATGTCGCAATCCTGATACACTGATTTACATAACGAATATGACTATTCCATGGCAGACGTGTATCTTTAGTGGTAACTCTCCAGCTATGTTCAGTTTACCCTTTATACCTTTTTTTTAACAATTTTCCATGTGTTGTTCATTACTTCATCCACATTAATGTCGCCCTGATGAGCTGGGAAAGTATGAATTATATTAGAAACATCGGCAAACAGCCGCAAATTGAAATAATCAGTTACTGATGGCAGTCTTGGCAGATCATTTATATAAATAAAAACAGAGTTGGTCCTAGCGCTGATCATTGTGGAACACCATATATTATCTTTTTTCTTATAGATAACGTTTGACCACACTGAACAATCTGGATCTTTATTAAACACGAATGCCATAATTTAAGAGTTTTGCTAGCAGTACATTAAGATTAATGGTGTCAAAATTGCTTTCTTAAAATCGATGAATATGCCAAGAGTGAATCTCAATTCTTCGTTCCTGTAAAAGCAATCGACGAAATAATCTTCATGCAGCATATAAGAGGGTAAAAGCTTACACAATTCTAGGTAATTGACTCAAACTTTAATAAGCTTTCCGCAATATTGGGAGGTGATATACCCAACAAACATGCATATTTCCTCTTTAACCAATGTTTGGTCAATTATAGAGGCCCGAATAGTACTAATACTAAAACCCGACGCTGGACTTAGAACTATGTCTAAACAGTGGTTTAAAAAAAGGAAATTGGTCTGAGATCTAAATTTTCTTTTAAACATGATTATAGACCCAGGGCAAGGAATAAATGATTAGGAGAATACGGACTTTACAGTTTACCTTTATTATTTTTCGAGCAAATTTAATTTTTTTTTTGTTTAAACCAAATGACAGGTACTTGGTGGATTACAACAACTATAATTATAGTGCTGTGTCGCTGAATAACGATGCTTAGACCCTGGATTAAAGGGTGACATAGAACAGATTGAGTCTGTTCCCTAATCACTGATGTCTGTGTCATCATCTTCCATTGGATCCTTCCGAGGATCAGCTGACTTTGTTCTCTCAAACGCATAGTTCTCGCAGAGCTCTTGGCAATCCCCACGATTCATGCGTTCGAACGCCTTGGCCAAGTCCCCAAGGTTCTGAATCTTCTTTTGACTCTCTGCAAGTACGAGTAGTTCTTCAGTCGGATTCTTGCACTGCTCCAGTGATTGTATGTAGTCTTGAAGTTCAAGCTGATCGGCAAGACCCCTCCAGTCATCAAAGACTGGACTTTCTCTGTTCAACCGACAACGCAGTTCATGCTGTAGCATAGGAGGTACTATGGAAGCAATTGCAACAGGAGCATGGGCAACAGTATTTCCTTGAGGATCATTCCCTTGGGGATTGTGGATGACCATCTCTCGGACGTAGATATTGACGTTCCCAGAATGCTGGGGCACTGGATCTGCTAAAGATCCTGGAACCAATTCTTGGACAACGTTTGCCGCAAATGCTTGTGGGGCCAGGACTCCAATTGTTTCCTCTGCTGCAGACTCTAATGAATAGTCGGGCACTGTCGATGATGTCGAAGCTTAAAACAAATTCGAACAAAAAGATGATGTCGTAAATCAATAACATCGTTCGATTTTCAGAAGAGAGTGTAAAGGAAATAAGCGTATATCACAATTATATGTGCTTCCAAAGTACTTAATATATTAGTAACCCGGTTAAGTTCCAGCAACTATTTCAGGTAGCCTATACCCACTTATTACACATGGGTCGAGTGTAGCATACATAGATTACTGTTTTGCCAAAGGATTTCGTTCGTTACTATTTGTAACATAACATCAAATGTCACCTTAAAGTTGTGATTGATTGAGGAGATAAGCGTAATTTTGTTGAGGTACAATTGACTTGTTTGTTACAGAGCCCAGGACACACCTTAATCTTTTAGCTCCTTACCAATTGCTCCTCTTTCTGTTACCAAATCAGGTGTGACTTGGTAGGCATGTTCACATGACGGTGACTCTATCGATGGCGGAGTCAACGGCCTAGGTCTTGTAAGGTCTTCAGTATGACTACTTCTACCTGAAATAAAGCAACATAAAAAAAGGTTTTAGAAAATGATTAAACCAGACTCCGACTTGTGCTGTAAAGAACTCTGACTGATCCGTTATCTATCGCAAGTCGACCGTTTGAATTGTATTTTATTACTCTTTTGTATTGACATGATTGAGATAATATCATGGAACATGTAGTGAAGAGTTACAATTGTTCAATTTACAGAGTAAAAATCAGAACCGCTCCTGAGAGGATATAGTCTTACCCTTTGTGCCTGCAGGCTCAGGTGATGTTGAACCTATCGTTTCAAGATGCTGATGCCTGCTTATCGTCAGCTCTTCGGGGAGCTGAGGTGCTGAAAATGCAATAATCACTCAAAATGAAATCAGAATGAAATCACAGTAGCACAAATACAATGTTTTTTTTCTTCAAATTTTGTTGAAATTGTCTCTTTACCAAATTTTATTTCATGCAACAAGCCTGCCAACATCCCATTGAAAGCGTATCATTTTTTACACACGTTTTTCACTTATAGCCATGTCGGTTTCATGAAACGATGCCCTGCATATCAAAAAGTTTGTGTATCAAACATACAAAGCAAAAACAACAAAAAAAGAAAAAACTATATTAATACATTTTTTAAATCTTACATTTGGATGTTCCCCGTCCAACATCATGTTGTTCAGCTCTGCCTTTGGACGATGCAGTTCCTGTCGGAGTTGATTGGGCAATTGGATTCTCATGCGGCACATCTTAATTGTGAATACATGATTTCAAAGTGATGAGAACCGATTAGCCTAAAATAATAACTATTCCAAATTGGAGTCACTTGACATGGCGCTTTTGCTACACTAATTGAACTGTATAGCATTACACGTAAACATAATATACATATATATGATATATATTCATATATATATATATATATATATATACAGGGTGGCCCAATATAAACGTACTAGCACACTTCTAATAATGTGGGGCCAAATTCACTGGTACCAGCAGTAGTAAAATCTTTCCAAATTAAAAAAATGATAGCAGGATCTACGAAATTGGTAAAAATGTCTTTTGTTGATTTCGGGAGCATTTTGTCCAGTATCAATAGAAATGCGTTTAAAAAATTCGGACAATCTAACGTCTTTCTTGCACAAGTCATTAAAAATTATCTAAAATGAAAGAAAAAACAATGTTTTTGGAATGTTATGTTCGTGTTTACCGAAGCTCAGGCAAATAGCCATTTCTGAAACTGCACAAGAATACAATCTTCTCTGACAGCACTGCCAGTGGAAGTCTTTAAGCCACCCCCTCCTTCCCCTCCCCCTCCCCCGAAGGGAATCATGCTCTTGATATTACCGATGTACTGTACTGGGAAGGTGATCTTCTTCGTGATTTTTTGCTTCAAGATGAGAGTGACGAGAACTCCGGATACTATCCTTTCACGTGGCTGAAGATTGAACGGCATGCGATGGGTCGTCATGTCAAAGAAAGCACATTCTTCAAGTTCCTAAGAAAGTCAGAGATAACCATCAATAATACCTTACGAAGTTATAGGGAACGGTACCATTGTCCTAATTAAAAAGTTATACCATGAATTATTACCCATGCTTGAATCGAGTTTTCTGAAATTATATCATAACGAGAACCAATTAACCCGCAAAGTAATGCCGTGTATTGGTCCGGCTGAATTGTAATACAAAATAGCGACAGTGTACTAGAAGCACTTAAACTGTAAAATCAAATCTAGCGCCATCTCGGGTCAGCTGTAGCAGTATGGTCCCGTAACTCGCTGCGATGATGGCACAGAACTGTATTCTGGGGGTGATGGTTATCGCTTCGAGCCCTCTGTCTGCGAGACGGAAACAAGGTATTAGATTACACACTGTTGGCAAAATAAACATGAGATGGCGTTGTGCAATGAACAGTAGGCTAAGGCAGAAAGATCATCAGTTCGGTATCAGCTCTAGCCTGTGTCTTTGGCAATGTAGAAAAATATATATTAGGCCCTGCATAATAGGTTATACCCCCTTCACATACACGGATTTTTCTTACGAGTCCTTACGGATCGCAACAACTCGTATACACTCTTAAGGATCCGTTAAAGGAGAGGCAAATTTTTTGACATGTCAAAAATCTTCTTACGATTGTCCACGGATTGATTTGTCCGCAAATAGCTTGTAAATAACTTGTAACAATCCGTAACCATCCGTAAACCGCACGCAACGACACGTACCCATCCGTAAACTGCTCGCAAGAATCCGTAAATGACTCGTAACAGATTTTTGTAACGATTCGTTACGGTTAGTTTACGATTTGTTTACGGATTACTTACGGATTATTGCGATCAGTTTATGAATGGTTACGTATGCTTATGTGTTGTTTACGATTTTATTCGGGTCACTTTACGATGGCTTTACGGATTGATACGGGTTATTACGAGCATTTTACGTGTAGTTACGAGGACTTTACGAATAGATACATTTACTTTACGTATGCTTACGAACTGTTTACGATTTGAGGAAAGGTATAAAAGCTTCAAATTCGAAGACTTTCTTTTCAGATGTTATTTTTTGGCTAAAAATCGTAAGGACTCGTTAATACTCGTAACTTACTCGCAACTATTCGTAACAACACATAAACAGGTCGTAACTAACACGTTAGTTGCTCGTAGTTATCCGTGACAACTCGTAACAAATCTTGGACTGTTGCCGTAAATACATCGTAATAACTCGTAATAATCCGTAATAAACCGCAAACAGCTCGTAATAACTCTTAAACCGGTCGTAAAAGTGGCCAAATCGTAAGGATCCGTGAAAGATCCGTGAATTTGTGCGATCCGTAAGGACTCGTAAGAAAAATCCGTGTATGTGAAGGGGGTATAACGGACGATTTGTTTGTCAGGATAATGATTTACTTCGGGGGCAGCAACAGTAAAAAAATATATTGAGATTGTTACCTCTTTTGACACTTCCTCTTTGTTTTCCAGGTGTCTGACAAAAAGGGGTCCCTTTCCCCAATATACACAGTACTGCTCACCAGGAAAGGCTACCTTGTAATCTCGTATGGTATCCTACAAAAGGTTGAACATATATGAATCAACATTGAAAGAATGTTAATGACAATAATAATAATAATAATAGTTGCAATAATTGCAATAATGCTGTTCTTCCAGAAGGCACTGCAATGTACTGCAGCAATTGCAAGTTACTCTGATACACCCGGGCGGCAATTATGGATGAATCTTTTAGTCTCGAGTCTCGAGCTGATTATTTACTTCAAGATGCGAAATGCTTATCGGGTTTGAATATTATATCTGTGATTTGTTTTACATTTGTTGTGACCACCCCCCCCCCCCTCCTCCCTCCCCTCGGTCCATGGACCCTTCTACTCAGAAAACGTTACACAAACTAGTTTTGCATCGTAACCACTGGAAGATCGTGGACAAAACAAAAAGTTATTTCAATGAACATGGTAACAAAGTTTCTGTCCGAATACCAGTGCTATACACACAAAAATATCATATATATAAGTTGCATGGACTTACTAAAGGATTTCATGTCCATTTTAACATTTATTCTTTTTCAGCTAAAACAATACCGAACTGTTAATTCATGATAAATCTACCTCTTTCATGCCGCAGAAGTCATCTCTAATATTGAGCAGGATGTAGTTCATGACGTCTCTAGATGTTGACAGGGGAACGTATGGCGTACAGATGAGCCGTTTACCGATGAAGTATCTCCTGATTAAGGAGATAATCCACCATTCCGAGAAATGGTCTAAGTACAGAGTAATGTGATTCTTTGCAACTACACACCGAGCAGCTTTGTCAGAAGCAGGAACGATCCTTGAAAATTCATCAGACCCTTTAAACAAGAAGGGCACAAAAAAGGGGGACCGTGTTAATTTTGGTATGCAGTGAACTGTCAATGGTAAGGGATTTGCTTTCATAAAATAAAGAAAGAAAAGTATTTTTTTAATGTTTGCGGATTGACTGGGGTCTGGGGAGCGTTGTTGGAGGGTCATTGTTTATTCATGAGCTATGTCGTTAACAAAATGTCAACTGCTATTTGGTGATTGGCTATTAACGAACAATTTTATGTATTAGATCATGCCTAATATTTGTTTGTTTAATTCCCACAATTCCCCACGATCTTTCCACAAGAATCTGGAAAATGGCGGCTGTATGAACTGTGCGACTTATAAGTTATTCAAACACAAAGACTGAAGAAAAACAAATTAAAGTGAATTTCTATTCTAATGAAAGTTTATCAAGTAAAACTCAGTGAATAAGAACATTCTGAGAGGAATATCAACATTGAAGTGAGGTCATATGATACCAAGAATAGTAGGGAAGGATTCATTTTGTGTGAAGATCTCTGTCATAATTGTGATGGGTTCGTCGTGGCAGTCAGGGGCTCTCTGCACTGTCACAGCGAGAGAAAGGTTCAAGAAGCGAGTTCAAGAACATTAGACGGACGAAGAGAGGGAAATTAATGGAACGGAAGCAAAAGGAATTAATATGGAAATATGGGATCTATGGTAAAAGGAAGATCTTACCAGTTCTTCGGGTGTATAGCACAATTTCTGCCTTGTCTGGGTTGGTGAAAATAGCGCTATGCGAGACCGTGACTTCCACCGGAGTTTTAAACTGAAGACCAGGAGGGGATAGCTTGAGCCCAACTGAGATGATAACTTCGTCTTTGTCCAGCTTTAAGTCAGGTGGAATGGTTGTCAATGCTTCTGCTGTGATATATTTGGCTCTGTCCACATCGTCTGGTGAAATTGGAACCTTGATGCTGTACTCGTCTAGACTTATAATCTTTGTCTCTTCTGTGATACTCTTCCTCGAGGAGCTAGAGCTGTCTTGTTTACTGGTAAGATATGGATCGTATGTTGGGGAGTATGGGCGGGGCATTAAGCTAGGGAGAGCCTTACTACCGAACGTACTGCGAAGGTAGTCATAGTGGTCCTCTTCATTAGCAAGTTTCCCCAGGTCTGCACCTTTACTAACAAGGTATTTGACAATATCAAGATAACCATTGAATGATGCTCTGTGGAGAGCTGTAACCCCATCTTTATTACCAATTTCAATGCATGCTCCTTCGTTCACAAGAAACTCGACGACTTCAAGATGGCCTTTTTGGGAAGCACAAGACAAGGGTGTCCTGTCGCTTTTGTTACATTTGTTAAGCTGTGCCCCTTTCCTAACAAGGTATTTGACAATATCAAGATGACCCTTGAAGGATGCAATGTGAAGAGCTGTATACCCATCTTTATCACCAATTTCAATGCCTGCTCCCTTGTTCACGATATACTGGACGACTTCAAAATGGCCTTCTTGAGAAGCACAATACAAGGGGGTCCTGTCGGCTTTGTCACATTTGTCAAGCTGAGACCCTTTACTAACAAGGTATTTGACAATGTCAAGGCGTCCGCCAAATGAAGCCAAAATAAGTGCGGTCCAACCATCGTCAGTGCTCCTATCCACTTCTGCTCCTTGACTGGTTAGATATTTCACTACCTCAATATCACCAGTTTGTGATGCAGTATGTAGAGCTGAATATCCATCTTTACCACATGTGTTAATGTTGGCTCCTTCTGTCAAAAGGTAATCTGCAATATCAAGATGGCCACTGTCTAAAGCAAGGTGTAGAGGTGTCCAGTAATCATTAGCAAGTCTCCCCAGGTCTGCCCCTTTACTAACAAGGTATTTGACAATATCAAGATGACCATTGAATGATGCTATGTGAAGAGCTGTAAACCCGTCTTTATCACTAATTTCAATGTCTGCTCCTTCGTTCACAATAAACTCGACGACTTCAAGATGGCCTTTTTTGGAAGCACAACACAAGGGTGTCCTGTCGTTTTTGTCACATTTATCAAGCTGTGCCCCTTTGCTAACAAGATGATGAACTATTTCAACGTGTCCATTAGACGATGCAATGTGGAGTGATGTTTGCCCGTCTCGATTACAGTTATCAATATTTGCTCCTACGTTCAGTAAGACCTCGACAATGCCCAGATGACCTCTTTTTGTTGCAAGACACAAGGGTGTCATCCCGTTCCTGAGTGCTTTGTCAACCTCTACCCCTTCCTTAACGAGAACTTTAACAATATCAAGGTGTCCCCTAAATGAAGCCAAACTTAGTGCATTCTTACCGTCGTCGGTACTCCTATCCAGCTCTGCTCCTTGACTGGTTAGATATTTCACTCCATCTATATTTCCGGTTTGTGATGCAGCATGTAGTGCTGTACATCCCCCTTTACTACACGCGTTAATATTGGCTCCTTCTGTCAAAAGGTACTCTGCAATGTCAAGATGGCCACTGTATAAAGCAAGGTGTAGAGGGGTCCAGTAATCATTAGCAATTCTCCCTAAGTCTGCCCCTTTACTAACGAGATATTTGACAGTATCAAGATGACCATTGAATGTTGCTATATGAAGAGCTGTAAACCCAATGTCGTCACCAACATCAATATCTGCCCCTTCGTTCACTAACAGCTCTATCACACGAAGATGGCCTTTCTTTGAGCATAAGTGAACCGATGTCTGTAGGTTAGCATCCACCATATTCACTTTTGCTCCATGATGGGTAAGGCATTTAACCGTTTGCAAATGTCCGTTTTCCGAAGCAATGTGAAGGAGTGTCTTGCCGTACGCATCCGAGCAGTTTACATCAACTCCTCCCGAATCCTCTGACTTGTCTTCTGGGTCGATTAATGATTGTATCTTCAGGACGTCTCCTTTTGCTGCTGCTGAAAACAGCGCCATGTTGAACGTAATTCACATCCACAATGTTTTTTTCTCTAAGATATTACCGTGCTCTCTAAACACCAAGTTACTTATACATGTATGTGACATTGAACTACTATGTAAATTATCCCGTACCCTGTAGTACCGATGATATTTGGTCTATTCTGAAGGAACACTCAAGCGTGATTATATGAAAGCAGTACATAAATTGGACTTTGCATTCAGATCCGTATTCGGCTGTAGAAGTCTGCCTATATTACTGTACTGCGTATTGCGACAATACAGTCCTAATGCCTTGCCATTTATCTGTATTTTTTTGGCCTGAAATATACCTGGTTTTAAGTCTGCGCGAAAGAAAAAGAACATGGCGGATCAATATTCCATTAAGTCTAATACATTAACAGTGCTAGGTTGACCTGCCCCCCCTTCCCGAAGCACACAAACACACACATACACACACACGCACACGCACACACACACACACACACATGGACACACACACACACACACACACACTCAAAAACATCGAAACTAAGAAATATGACAGAAAACAGGAAAGAGAGAGAAATACGAAAGGGACAGAGAATGATAAAGAATTCCACCTTTAAGATCGTTTTTCTTTAACACTCTACATGACTGTGTAATGATGTAATCGGTTTATGTAGAGTACTCGCTTCATTTATCTAGAATTGGCGGGATATAAACCAAATTTGTCGGTATATCTCCATCAATAATAAGCATTATGAGATGCTAACAAAGTGCTAGTCATTCGTCTTTCTCCATGTACATATATTATGCACTTTGCTCAAAATGTATTTCTTTCATAATTCTCATATTGAATACATTCTCAGAATGATATAGGACTATCATCCTATATCTTGAGAATGAGTTCTTAAAATGAAATAGAGAAATTTTGATTCACGGATTGTTCAACTAACAGAAGATGCCAGACCGACAACCGGACACATTATTACATTGCCCCGAATCGCTGAGAATCGGTCGATTTGAAGTCGGTTTGGAGGTATGATTAATATCCCAGTCACACTAGCAAACCGACTTCGAATTGAATCCAAAGAGTCCAAACTGACTTATTGTTGGCCTCTGTGGATAATGTTATCGGTTGCCTGATCTGGTCTGGGTGTGGATGTCTTTGTATTTGAGTTGTCGTAGTACGTATTACACTTCTATATTTCTTCGAGGATCTTTTTCGGTGGACTTCAACTACTTTAATATCACCTTTATTGTGTATTCTATTAATAAGACAATGTTATCATTTGTTATTGTTGTGTTACTGTCCTCCGAAGTGTTCAGAATATATTATTGTTATATTGATGGATTTTAACAATTTATCATTTCCTGTACTTTTCTTTTCTTAAATGAAAAAAGGAATAGGGAGAAAGACGAAAGATCCCATATATTTTCTGAGTGCAAGGATAAATATTCTGATAACGAAGATACATAGAGTTTAATTTGGGTCGAAGTTGTTATTCTAGTCATATACTTTACACATTTAGATTTGATGGATCTTTCTTTAATTTCAGATTAAATCGGGAGATACATTCTAATGAAAGATATTTAACAGGGTTTAAAAATGATGATACATTGTAAATGTATATTTTCCAGTAAGATGAAAGGGTCTACAAAGGCAAGAGTTTTTGCATGAATTTAAAAAGAGATTTGGATAATACGGGTAGGGGAAATGAGATAATTATAATATGAGGATATTTTTTCGTGATGAGTAGTCTGGTATTGGTCTCATTTATTTGATTGGGATATAAGGTTAGAGAGGATTGATCACACATAAACAACAACAATTAAATCGGTCTGTGTATAATAATGTGTAGACCAGTTCGTAATTAGCACATGGTTCAAATCACCTCAAACAGCCACATATATTTCAAATTGTGTACAAAGTAACCTAGGTCTTCCCATGTCAAATTGTATAAAGGGAACTGGAGTACTGGATCCGAGAAAGTCGTTGCTGAAGGTTCATTTGTGGGTTGAAATACCCTTAACATACCTCTAATTCAGTATTCTGAAAGTCTGAAGTTTTCAGATTATCACCCAAACATGTATTGCTTGATGGTTACGAAATATATATCTGTTGTTAGTAAATTGCCCCTAGAATAGTCAAAACGTGTGGCGCTGAATTTTTAAAAATAATTGCCAAGAATCGGGTAATTCTCTAAAAACAATCAGCAGTTACCTACATGCAATTTAATTCTAAGAGCGTATACTGATTAGCGTTCACTTTGTTGCCAAATACACACGCATGATACATGTAATAATCTCAGCAATTTATTCTCTTTCTGCCAACATTTATTTGTGTATGAAACCCTTGACTGATGAAACATTGAGAGCTCTACAGAGTGAATCAGAAAAAATGGCCCACTTTTTAAAAGTTGTATTGTTTGAAGTATGAATATTTTATCGTGGATTTCATGATATGTCTTGATAGAGTTATCCTCCCAGTACATTTAGGTACCATTTGTATTTGAATCTCTGCATGCATGACTGAACATCAGACATTCTTTACAAGACTGTCAGATCTCACTTGCGCCAAGTAGCTAGGTAAGTATAAAATAGTGTTTTAAACAAAGACTACCAGACGGACAAACACACACACAAACAAACACGCGCACCCACAAACACACACACACCCACACACGCACAAACACACACACGCACAGGCACACACACACACACACAAATGATCGTTCCATTCCCGACAAGGCCCACCCAAACTGTTACTTTTTGTCGGAATTCTTCTTCTCGTACGAAAAGTTGAGTGGCCGCTGTTCTCTTGTTGCGTATTGGCGGATGTTGTGCTTCATGATGATGATGATGATGATGATGATGATGATGATAGTGATGATGATAATGACGATTAAGATGATGACAACGATGGTGATGATGATATGATGGGGAAATATTGTCAGGGTTATATGCCACAGCGATCTTGATAAAAATCATTGGTTAATCAGAAAAGGGGAAATTATTGACACGGTGTGCGTGTGTTTTTGCGTGTGTGTGTGTGTCTGTGTCTGTCTGACTGTCTTTATTTAATGCACTGTTTTATTCCTCACCCAGTAACTTGGCGCAGGTGAGATCCGGCAGTCTTGTAAAGATTGTCTGATGTTCAGTCATGCATGCAGAGATTCAAATGAAAATGGTATCAAGACATATCATGAAACCCATGATTAAATATTCATACTTCAAACATTACAACTTTTAAAAAATGGGACATTTTTTCTGACTCACTCTGTATAGGACCGCGTTCCAGTCATTGCCCTTTTTGAATGACTGGTATTCTAACGTCATTGGGTGTGCAAATATGTCATTTCTATTCAAACTGAGATTCTCACAATATATTCAATTTAATTCGATTCAATTTATTTCAAACACAAATGTAAACACATACCATATAATATATATAATATAATATGCTATCCATAATACATTGTATGTAGGAGTGCCCCATGGAAGAAGGCACTAGGAAAAACAGAAAATACTGATATTTTTGTACACAACAAACGAAACAATTGTCCACGGATACATCACAATCCACTGACCCAATTGCCAATTTGAAATTCGCATATAGATTTAGAGATACCTTTTTTTCAAACATTCATAACTGCTCTATTATTTGACCGATTTATGCAAACGTTTGCAGTCATGAGTTTCTTATTTTTCTGCTTTCACGCAAAATTAATGAACTTATAACAAAGGAGCGCCTATCATACCTATCTATAACGAATATCATCATGATATACATAAAAGTTCAATTAATCCAATGCAATTAAAAATATATATGCACATAAAGTATACATAAACAGTTTGATAAGTATGAAGAAGAATAAACGTCGAATAAAGGTAACATAAAAGACGAACCCCTTTGTAATAAACGTTTGAATGAGAAGGATCTCACGCAAATGTTAATAATGTTCAGTTTTTATAAGGAGTCCCCTTTATTCCCCGCTATTTGTCAAGTTGTGTTAGTTTAATTAAATGCAAAGAATGCTATCAATACGTCTTGAATGTTGCATTTTCCGGCTGTTGCACCCCCCCCCCCGAGGAAAGGCAATAAAATCGCTGGCTTAACATGCAACAGGAGCTCATTGTTTTCATTATCTTAAACAAAATGTTCATTTTAACACCTGCGGTTCCTTCTAGATAATTCAAATCTTGAATTCATTTAATTTGATGTGATTTGAGTTGATGTTAATACATTTCCATGTTCATGTACATCACTTTTCTGGTTACAATCCTGTCAATGTTTATTATTTTTTTCATTAGATTTTTGTATTTGATTGATTATTTACGAACAGCAAACAAGTACTATTCATTTCATACAACCATATTTATATGTACAAGAAGAAAAAATATTGGTTGGTAAATTGGGCGGATAATAGCATATGTGCTAGTCGACCCTAACGCCTTATGCACAGCTCAACAATGTATTTTGTACAAGTAACTTTCAGAAAACAAAACAAAAACAAAGAAATTAATGTACTATTGCAATCAATACTATACAAAAATATTTAACTTTGATAATGTCTTACAAAATACGAAATATAATTTTTGTACACATACAGACCATTTGCATGGATTTTTTATTCATGATTTGTTTAACTAATGTGTCTGACAGCATCTGACATTATAATAATCAAGTAACTAATCACAAGAGACAATGAAAATTGACCATGTGTCGTTCTAAATTTTGGCAGACGTAATTGTTAACCTTCTGTTTGCCCTGTGGAGTAGCTATACTCTAGAATATCACAGTAATCTATCAAAATATGAGGCAAACTTTTATTAAACAGATCAAATATGAAAGTAGTGGAGCTGTATGAGTTCTTCTCTCTCTCAATGAAAAAAGCACGAACTGCCATTTTATGTGAATACAATGTTTTTAATATTCTTAATACTGCTTCCCCACACCTGTGTGGTTTTATCCACGTTTTATATGATAATGGATAATGTCAAAGTACTCCAATTTCCATCCTGATACACTAATT